GAACCCGAACCCCGAACCCGATACAAAAGCCAAAACCCAAAAGCGTTGCGTTGGCGAGAGGGCAGAATAGGAAAGTTGTCCGAAAAGGGCAAGGGCAAAGGCAAGGGCAAGGGGCAAGGAATAAAGCGAAGCATAAATACGCGGTGAATGTGAGATTACCGAAATATGGGATGCGCATTGTGTGTTCGCACAGAGAAGGAAAGACAGAGTATTGAGAGAGTGAGAGAGAAGCAAGGAGAGAGGCGTTGGCGTCTAGCATATGGAGGAAAAGGATCTTGAGAGACAAAGTAACTTCTAGAGAGAGAGAAAGAGGAAGACATGACTGGTTTTTGAGGAAGCATTGGTTGGAGTCGTTTTGCATGGTCTGTACCAGAGCCACATTCATTGCCATTGCCTTTACTTAGATTGGGTTTGAATCTTGCTGCATTGAATCAGTTTGAAGGGACTTGAAAGAAGTTGATTTTCGATTCGATCACAGGTATATGAAACCCTAGCTTGTAGTGTATATTTGTGCATGTGTTTTGCTTGCATGTTTGTTTGCAAGATCGATCAAAAGCCATACCGAGAGCCAGTTCATTGGCCCAAACCCTAGGGATCGCCTCGATGATGTCCACTGGACTGGGGCGAAGGTTCTTGAAGACTAAACTTGGACTTTCGAACAGGTTGAAGACTTGAAGATTATGATTGATAGTGGTTTTATGAAATTTTTAACCGGAGGTTTGATTCGTAGGGTTTTTCTTTTTTTCGCTTCATCTGAAGTTTTTGGCTTCATTCATCTTGGGTACATGCGTGAATCTTCATGTATGTGGTCTAGCTAACTGCCCAATGCCTTGACTTGGTTCATGGAGTTCACTTCTGGTGGAGATCTCTCTGCACGTTGACAGGGCTTAATTGTGGACTGTATACACAATCACATTAGACTTTATGTTGAACCCTAGCTTGGTGATGGAGTTGTTCTGACTGGTAGTTTACTTCGTGCACATTAGTAGATATATCAGTCCCTGATGCTCGCAGGAGTTTTCAATTGGGCATAAACAGTTGTATTTGGATCTGCATTCTTCGATTTATGTGGTCGGATTTGTGGTTTACGGCGTTATATTGTTCTTGCACAGTTGCATACATCCGTGCCTCAACTGCTGCAACCTTGTTTCTGCCAGGATATTTTTTGCATTGAACATTTTGGATTTTCCCCAAAAGACCTGCAGGCTATGGGAATTGAGAAATTTGGTTGCTCCTCATGGAAGCAATTAATATCTTCACTGTTTGCTTAGGTTTTCAATATTCGTCTGCTTGGACAAGAGTTATGATGCAGTCTGGTGTAGTTGGATCAAAACATTGGAAGTTATTTCAAACATCTTGTTTATGTTGCTCGATGTCTTGTATAATACTCCTGCCTTGGTTCCTAAAGCACCATTTGGTGGATTACGTATTGAATTGCCAAAACCCTGTTAACATCTGGACAATGACCTAATTGTCTACTTTAGTGCTAGAAATGGTTGAAGTTTGAAGAAAGGTTTTATTCATGCTTGGATTCACCGTGTGTTTCCAACAATAGATTATGTAGATTCTTGGTTCTTATCCCTTATCTATGTCATTCAAATTTATCATTTTTGTCATTTAGTTTTGCAATGAACTGCTATTTGTAAATCCAGATTTGTCGTGTATTAAAGTTAAACGTTAAGATTCGTGATTCTTATCCCTTATTTATATCTTTCTATTTATCATCGTCGTCGTTTAATTTTGCAATGAACTGCCATTTGGCATTCTAAGATGTGTTGCATATTAATGTCAAAACCAATTGACTGAGCTGTTTCTGAACTCTTATCAGTATTGGAACCCTTATCTATGTCATTCAAATTTATCATTGTTGTCGTTTAGTTTTGCAATGGACTGCTATTTGTCAATCCAGATTTGTCGTGTATTAAAGTCAAAACCAATTGAGTTAAGATTCGTGGTTCTTATTCCTTATTTATATCTTTCTAGTTATTGTCATCGTTGTTTAATTTTGCAATGAACTGCCATTTGGCATTCTAAGATTTGTTGCACAAAATCTATTGACTGAGCCATTTCTGAACTCTTATCAGTATTGGAGTCTCACAAGTGACTTGTTTATGGCCTTTGACAACGTTGGCCACGTATGATTGACATCATTGATGGATTGACATCTAAAAAATCACTTATAGTTACTTTCCCAGAGTCTTGTTCTTGGTTTTTGTGTTTATTAATGACATTGTTGATTGTCTGTAATTAATTATGAATTAGATTGTACAATATGTGTCATTAAGAGTAGAGGCTCTTTTTTGTACAATAAGTGTCGCATCGCGTTGTACAGTGGATGTTGCTCAGGCGTTAGAATTTGAACTTACTGGATCCTGCAGAGCTTATATAGTCCCTGTCAGTCTTTGGAACATTATAATGAGAGTTCACTATTAATTGTCGGCACTGATTATTGCTTAGAAATTATCCATTTTTTTCTCATCTAAATGTTATAGTATTTCTAAATGGAGACTATATATGCAGGTTCACCTATGTACCTGTACTGGGGGTCAAACTCTGTTATTGGGTCACGTGAAAGACAAGCAGCATTGGCATCCTGCAAGACGTGTGGTAGAAGACCCTCAGTTGATGGGACAAGGTCTCCCTCTAGTGGCAAACTTACCACAATTGGTCTGGACTGACTCGAATTTGAAAAAGGTTTCAAAAGGTGACAGGAGTTATCAAGGCGCACTAGAACAAGTTTGCAGTCTAGTGGGCAGTTGTATAAGGAGTATAAAAAGGTGGAAATGTCTTTGTCTGGATCTGAGAAGGTACACACCACATGTTAAGGTGGTTGTAATATAACTGTTGGTTTATTTCTATGTTTCATTCTTGTAAGCAGAAATAGCTGCATTTTATAGCACGATAATATCTTTCTTCTTTTCTGTTTGCAGCTGGGGGATTCTGTTCTTGGGTGCCACTTCGGTAACAAGGCGGAGCATACACCAATTAAGAAGAGAAGGTTTTTATTTAGGTCTCCATCTCCACCACTCAGAATCCCTTCTTCATGCTCTGAGGAAACTGAAAGACTGCCCAAGAGTCAACATGCTTCTGGTCAGGGGTTTCTTATGAGTCCAATTTCAAATTGCCAATCTGCAGCATCTGCTTCTGCAGTTGACTTAGGTCAAATTGTTGCTAGTGATCAGACTGTTGATGGGAAAAAGTCAGTTAAGGGAAATGAATTAATTGGTGATGAAGCCCTTTCTGGGATATCAATACTTGCTGCTTTAGCCTGCAGTAACAACTTGGAAGACATTGAGGATGGTTCAGGAGCTGAGTCTTCTGAGCGGGAGGGCCCTGGTGAAATTCTGATGAAAGATGAAGCTAAAGAAGACCTTGTGGGTTCTGTCAAGCTATCTGCTGAAGGAAATGGTTCCTTTATCTCTCCAGAAGGTGCTGACACCTTGGGAATGGATAGTTACTCCCCAAATGGTTTTCCACTTGAAAACATCTCAGAGAGGACTTCCTTGCCGAATAATTCAGTGGCTGGATCAGATGGTCTTTCAAACAAGAAAGACCAGGGAACAATTAGAACGCATGAATCTTGTGCACGAGGTAACAGGTTGCACTGGGACCTAAATACATTGATGGATGAATGGGAGAGCCCTTTTGAGTGTCATCATTTATCTTCAGCGCCTAATGTTGCAGATTGCCAGCCTGACTGCGTCGATGATGGGAGCCATAGTGATGAGAAAGAGAACCTGGAAGGTAATGACAGATATGGTTCAGCCAGGAATGTAAAATTTAGCACCCAGACTTGTGAAACTTCCTCTTGTCAACATCTTGTTTGTGTGGATTCATCTTTGGACTATTCTGTGGCCCCCAAAGCTGATAGGTTTACTTGCACATCTGTATCTAAGGAAAATTGTAATGCTGCATCCACTGGTTTTGATTTTGTGAAGATAGGACATGACCGAGTTGCTGATATACGAACATGTGGGACTGTTTCATCTATTTATCAGGTTGAGAAGCAGAATGCTTCTGTTTTCAGTGTAGTTTTTTCAGACAAGGCTACCAGTGAGATTGATAATAATCAAAATAAACATGGTGGGGATGCAAACCAAAATTCTGGTTTGTGTGATGATGGGAATGCCTTGAAGGATATGTCTGGTTTGGAGACTGGACACTCACTGAGAAATGAGCCTCTGGATGATTTTAAAGAGAATACTGGCTTTGAGCTAGATGAAGGGAGATTCTCGCATTCTCATACAAATGTAGAGGTGTCTACCTCAGTGCCGCCATTTCTTGGCAGTCAGCCTGTGGTAGAAGCAAGAAACAAGGTGCAACATAGTAAAGCTTCTTCAGATCATGATAATGCTGATTCTGATATGCTAATGCATGTTGATGATGAGAAACTTCCAGCAAATACATCTTTAGGAAAGTCTGTTTTGCCACCTTGTACTCTTAGCTCACATGATATGCGTAGAAGCGGTTCTAATGATCTTGTAAGTAATTCAGATAATGTGATTCTTAAGGGCCATTTGAATGATGGTTGTGTTTTTGATGTTTCTCAAGGCGATCCTCACTTCGATAAAGAAAATGAGCTAGAGCTGGATTATGATTCTCAGTATGAAGATGGGGAACTCAGGGATTCAGACATATTTACTTGGGAAGAATATGATGGTGAGGATGGAGAGACTGAACGTCTGGACTATGGTTCAAACGACAGTGACTATAATAATTGGGGTTCTGAAAAAGCACAAGCAAGTAATGTTCAATTTTCTCCAGGACGCTCCTCAAGGAAGACTAGCAGACCAGACTTGAGAGTGCAGATGCCAGAGAAAGTTGACAGCAATAACAAAGAATCTGGTTCAGGAACTAAAGGTGGGATTAGACATAATGAGAATAATGATAGACGAGACAAATTAAAGGAATCAAGTGAAACAGCTGAATTGAAAGTGAAAATGTCTGGAGGGGATCCAATGCCTGAAAGCCGTAAATGCTCTAGAGATGCAAAGATCTGGCTAAGAGGTGAAAGCATCCTGAAGTCATCTTCAGCTCGTAATCCAAAAAGTGGATTGAGAGCTGAAGATAGAGAAACAACAGCGGATGGGTCAAGAGCTCACAGGAGGTATTTGTCATCCTTTGTTGAAAGAACTGCATCCTGCAGTGTACTTAGGAGGGGAAGATTACCTATGCAGGGAAGCTGGTAATTCTTAACTTACCAGTAGCTTTCATGGACTTTTGTTCTTTGTAGATTTATAACTGGTCAGTACTAACATACATCTTTGTTTTCAGTCCCAAAGACGCCGAATATTCAAATCCTCGGTCTGAGAGGGAGTGTTGCACTCCTAATCCCTTTTTAAGGGGCAGATACTCTATGCAAAGTCACGCCAAGGGTCGGGGAGGTTATAGGTGGGCTGACTCTTTAGAGGGTTATAGGGGTTCAAAATACCATCATTCTCCTACTTATCGTGGCGCTACTGGTTTTCATCGCTCCAGGCCAGAAGATATTGCATTTGATGGTACCAATACAAAAGAGAGAGGTGCATCGCATAATTTTCATCGACCTCTCAGAAGTCGATTGCCAGCTGATCGGGAAGAGGCTTTTCGTATGCGTCTGGGCTTTAGACCAACTCGAGAGAGGAGTCCCGATAGGTGTTTGACTCCTGGGCGGGGAATGTCCGTAAAGTATGGTGCACAAATGGATGGAGCCCCTAGAAGAAGATTCTATGGTAGTGCAAATGATTGCATTGAAACTTCCTTGTATTATTCACATTCTTCTTTGGGTAGGAGACGAAGAAGCTTTTCTCCTTTTGGAAAAAAAGAAATTTTTCATGCACGGAGATCCAACTCCAAATCTCCCTCAAGATCCAGAACTCGCTCTCCCATTTCCTTGAAATCTCCAGGAGGAAGAAGTGGAGATGGTTTTGCTGGTAGTCTTGGTTTTAAAAACCGAAGTAGATCTAATTGCAGAGCTGATGCACGAATGCCAAGGGTGAGGTCGCCTCATCATAAATCTGGTTTTGTGACAGATCATGTTGCAAGTTTTGTCTCATTGCCAAGAAACCATGGTTCTCCACCTCCTAATTCCAGATGGAGTGGTTACAAGCGTCGTTCTTCAGTTTTAGACAGGAGGTCACCTGGAAGAATTGGTCCACGGGACAACCGGTTTGATTTGTTGGATCCATTGCTAAAACCAAAGTCAAACGAGTATTCTAAATCTGTGTATCCGAGAAGATTTTCTGAATTTAATGGACTTGGAAGAGGTAGACCTCAGTATGAGCACGAGGGGAATGATGATGATAAACATGAGTATAGGTATGGGTTCATTCATCCTGCAAGGCGTCATGACATGGACCGATCTGTGAAGCAGTTCTGTGATGATGATGAAGATGGTTGTAATATGGCACACGTCTCTTGTAATATGGATGCTACAGATTTCCAGATGAGAGAAAGTGATAAGGCTGACAGTATGAGAAGTGAGAGTCGGATGTGTGATCTTCCAAAGCGGTCTAGAGAAGAGAGAGGCCCCGCCATCATTGACTGTGGAGATGGGAGATATAATGCTAACTCAAAGACATTCGGAACCCAGGAAGGTGATGAAGATGAAGCCAGTAGGAGAGGGCCTTCCTGAGCTTCATACGCAGTGCCATTTTTGTTTACATTGGGTGGTTTGAAAATGGTGGGCCGGGTGAATTGTTTTCGTTTTCAGCAGGAAAGCATTTGGATCTTGCAGTTGTCCTTTCTTCCAGCGGTTTTGGTTAAATTTTAATGTCGCTACTGCGATGTCTTTTTAAAATTTTGGTTAGGATTAAGATTTGCGTTTTATATACTTCTTTCATGTTGAAATTTTGGCTGTTGCCTGTTGAAATATTATCAATTTAATGGGAAATTAATATCTCTTTTTCTCCCTGGAAAATAGGGCCCTGTTTGATTTGCATATAAAAAAACAATATCTAAAAGTTATTTTCTAGAAAGAAGAGTAATTTGTTAGATTATTGATAGTTGCAGGTGTCCCTAGTGATTTCTTTTTAGTGAAGGAATATCTTTCTTTTGATGTGGGATTTTTTAACAGCAGAAACGTTACAGTCCTAAACATCATTAGTATAACGCTAGTTGTTATGAGGGTGTTATGGTTCGACAGGGTTATACAAGTGATCTTGGAGCTTATTGTCCTTTTTTGTTCTTGCTGGAGTGTGCTAGCGTTTGAGTTTTCTCTCTTGTTCCTTTCTCAGGGCTTGTTCCTTTCTTAGGGGTATTAAGACTATAGGAGGAAAAAGAATGCATTAGCCTATATTCCCGGCATGGATGGTTCAACCCTTCAACCCGATCCAATATCCTATCTTTCCCCGGCACAAAGTTTTTGACTATCTTCTCCTTACCACTCGGCTGGTATGATTGAAGGGAATGCCCCGCCCCTGCACCAATTGCAGCAATCCTGTATATGGCAGAAGAGGAGATATTCTATATACGGCCTGGTATAGAATAATTATTTTTGGTATCAGGGCAGAAAGTGTTCCGAGTTCGATTCATGGGATTGGAGAATGGCTAACAGGAGGAGCTACCAGCCGTCACCAGTGTGAAGCTACCAATCTTATCTGATTGTTACGTATTAGTCAGTCGACTCCAGTCCCTCAAACGATTGTCAAACTTTACTACCATTCATCGATATATGGATAATCTACATATAACTGCTATTATGGTTGGATTTCATCTTTCTGTGGCTTCTTCGTTTGTAGCAGGCTTTTGCCTTGGTCCTCAATGTAGAAAAACAGTAAAATTAGAAGCAAAGAAAAGGAAAAAAAGAGAGAGAAGTAAAGCTCTTCAAAGTACTGTGATCACAGTCGAATCTTTGAACAACTTCCCTCCTCCTAGCAGATACCCATCACAGCACAAGTTGGGTGTGTTTGTTTGGGGTATAAAAGTGGGGTTAGGAGGTGGGATAGTATATTAATACATGGGATCCATTTATACCTTATTTGATTAGTAATTTAACATCTATACAAATATTTGGATCTTATTCCTGACCCGGCTGCTACGGTGGCTGTAAACCCATGTACATGGCTATATCTAAGGCCACTTAGGCCGTGGTATTAGTCGGCGGTTGAGGGCCGCCGATGGTAGAAAGCCCCTAAATGACTATAATACATCTTCTCATTTATGAAATGGATGGTATTAGGAATAAATAGGCCTATTTACAATATGAGATGTGATATAATATTTTTTTTTTTGCGGGTCTCACTATAAAATATATTGCTCAAACAAACATGGGATGTAATTGCCTTAATTTTTATGCTTGGGATTAACTGCCCACGGTGTTGGAAGTACCTGAAATACATTAGCCAATCCCAGTAATACCAATCCCCCAAACAAACACCCCCGTAGAGTTTTCACTACATTGCCGCGATGGTGAATATGATCGTCTCTGGACTGGCGGTTTGGCGTTCTCGTCCTCAAAGTCGGTGAAGTTCATCAACCCAATCATAATTTAGTTCACCTGGCCTTGCCCTTTTTTGCCTTCACCAAAAAGAAACAAACACTGGTTAGCCTAAACATGAAAGCCAGATGAAGAACTCCTCAAGTATGCAAATTTATCAGCAGTTATGATGCATAGACAGGCAGGCCTCTCTTTACCATTCTTGATCTTCCAGCATTTCATCTGTTAACCCAAACTTTTTTAGCTCTTCTTTGGTGTGATGCATTAATAAGCTGTACCTGTAAGTATAGGATATACCATAGCTAGAGTAATAAGAATGTGTTAATCGAGAAACAAACAGTTGTGGGGATTTGGGTTCTCTTTAGTACACATTTTCTGAAATTTTTTCGTTAGTAGATCAAAGATAAAAAATTCAAGTGATAACGACAATATGTAAGAATCTCAATCTATACACGAGTGATCTATCATTAAGAGGGAATCTTGAAAGCCATAAAAATGTGCCAATCATGCAGAATTCAGTAAAACAGTTGGCTTAAACACCATGAAAAATGGTGTAAAGATTACTTCAATCCTAAAGTCAAGTCTAAGATATGGAAGCAGCATGAGCAACTGGTTAGATAACAGGCTACCTTCCACCATAGCCTCTTTCCATAACAATCATTTTCCCATTGCCTATGTTATGGAGTCCTTCAAATTGGTCCACTGTCCATTTATACCACCTCATCAAGAACACCCTCAATGTTAGACCATGAGAGACAATGACTATGTTCATGTTGGGGCTCTGTTCACCAGGTGGCTGAAATCTCCCAATGTCTATATCTGATTTGAGAGTTTCCCTGAACCCTGCAGTTCTAACAATCCACAGCTTCATTCCTTCCACAATTACTACCAAGTTTAATGATTGGTAAGTGCTGGAGATTATTGGACAGAGTACCTGTTATTCTATCGTAGACATCAGCTGCAGATTCCCCCTCGGGAAACCGGTAAAAGAAACGACCATAACGAGCACGATAAGCTTTCTCGATCCTCATTTTTTCTCTGTTCTGAAAGTTTCCTTGGCAAAGAGAACAAAAGCAAATGGAGGTAAAATTTAATGCCCGTTTTGGTATATCATGACATTTAAATAGGGTTATTAATTGAGCCGAATTTATCAAGTTTGAATATATGGTCAGTTTCAGCCCCGTTGTGATGCCAAGCTCAAGCTGAACTTATATTGGTGCTTAAGTTCAATTCGACATGAGGTTAAGAGAATTCGACACAAAACCGTGCTCAGTTTTCTTAATAAGAATTTCATACAATCAAACCATAGAACTTTTTCCATCCGAAAATGATTTAACTTTTCAACAAAAATACCTCAAAATTTGTATAACCAACTTTAAAATCAAACAATAGAAGTTCAAATTTTTCTGTAGTGTATTAGACAAGATAGAAAGAGATTGAGAGGTACATGTGAACTACAACTATGTGTGAAAATTTAGTGTTAATGCATCTTTTGTTTGACTCTAGTAGGAACTTATCCGACTAGAGTCGAAGCCTACATATTACTTTACAAAATTGAATGATTCAAAAACCAAGCTAAGCTCGAGCTGTTCGGATCGTTTATAACGTATGACATTTTGGTACTCTTTTGGGTGAGTGACCCTCGAAGTATTACATGAACATACCAAAGTCTTGCTCTCGTAAACGAGGTTCTTCTCTCACGCCAGCAATCCTTGAGCGTTCAAATGACTTAGCCAAATTACGTAATGTTTCAAGTGTCCTTCTATATGGAGAAGCATAGAAGTAAACCTTCCAGTCATCTGCTCCATCTTCCTCAACCATCTCTCTTATCATCTTCCCACATTCCTCAGCCTCATCCAATCCTTTCTTTGTCAGTGTAACCTTTGGGTCAGCCACTCTTGTGTATACACTCTCATCAACGTTTCCTTCACTTTGTCCATGGCGAATCAGAATTATCCGGCGCGGCCGAGGAGGCTTGATGGTAGATGAGGTTGTAGCAAGTCTTTTTTCAGGGAAACTGGCCAACCCATTATTGTCAGTAGGCTTAAAATTCACATTTGGGTTCTCGCAGCATTTGATGGAGTTGGATGTGTACAGTTTCCGGCGAAAAACCGGTTGAGATGAAGCTTGGTGAAGGGCTGAAAAGTGGTTGGTCATGGTTTTGTGGGCAGTATTAGAGAGGAAAGAGATTGAAGATGTGAAGCAGTAAAAGGAGGAAGTGTAGTAGGTGAGTTAGAGTTAGGGGGTTTAATTGAGTTACTCGCAGATAAGGCTCAATTCGTGTTCTAAATAAGTTGGGTTCAAACAATTTGTTAGACTCGTTTAAAAAAACGAATCTAAAAGACTCGGCTCATTTATATAAAAAATAGTTAAATTATTTGAATTTGACACAAATTGTAGCCAGGTTGACAGTAAACGATTTGGACCAGAGTGCTTATCTGCACGTTGCCCTTTCCTTGTGGCTAATAAACTTTTAGTTCTGTGGAAAAGGGTTTGTGGTGCTGATGGAGAGGGGCACTGTGTTCACAACAAACTTTTGCCTTTTTCATAGCTTAAAAATCAAAATAATGATTTACACAAACACAAATAAATAAATTGTACTAAGAATATTTTCAACCCTTCACTCAAATTTTTAATTAAATTTAAGTAAAAAAATTTGATTTAATACAAAACACTTTAATAGACAAATTCAAATGAAAATGAATATAAACTTGAATTTAAAAGTAGTGAAATATAATTACCGGATTTTCAAAGAAGGATAAAATATGATTTGAATGAATATTTAATTCTCGGTTTATTTTATATGAGTTTGAGTAAATAATTTAAAATTATTTTTAATATGTTTTCATTCAAATTTAAATTTGAGTCAAAAATCGAATAGTGCAAATGTAGGTCTTTATAGGAATAGGACACATGTTGAAGGCCGTGGGAAAGTAAAACAGGTGGTTTATGGGCCAGCCCGTTTGGGAACACAATCAGCTACAAGTCGAGAAATAGTTAATAGGCCTACTCTAATTGTTCGGGCCTATATCCACGAATTAGTTTGGCCCGAACTTGAAGTTTTACCAACGTCGCACTTCATTTTTTTTTTTTTAATCAGAAATATAGTAGGTTCGAAAAACTTGGTTACAGTCATAAGCAAAAAAATATTTTATCATATTTTATCAAGTAGTGATCTAATTTTTGCATAAAAAAATATTTTTAATCATTTTTATTATTACATTTATTAAATTAATTTTTAGTTTATAAAAAAAATATTAGTATAAGTTCGATTAAGTGATACGAAGAAAGCAGCACTTGTATGTATGAGAGAGTTTCGATCAGCCATGTCTGTTCCTTTGATAAGATCAGTCTTATTTAATATTTTTCGAGTGATTTAAGGAAAACACGAGAATAAGGCGGTCGAATGTTTTGTTTAAAGAGTGGACTGCACATAGGACAGGCATGAGGGAAAAAAAGGGTTGATGTGGTTGAAAATTATATAGAAAAAGCAATTAGCCTTTTTAATTGTCTTGGTAAATCATCTTTGAGTGAGTTTCAGTCAAGCATGACTGTCCCTTTGATACCCACCAGTCCTAGAGATTGGGCCTCATAATTCTAAACATTATACCTGAATTTGATAAAAAAAATAATAATAATAATAATTATACATGATTGTAAATAAATTTAATATGAATAGAATAAACTTTAACACCATACGATTTCAAGGTGATACTGACCCATTACTGGCCGTTGCCCCGGGGGGGGGTGGGGGGGGGTTCCTTTTTTGTCGTAGTAATCAAAGTGTTTTGGGTCAAACAATGGCTGTTCCTTTGATACCCATCAGTCGATGATGGTGTTCCAAATAACATCACATTAGCCTAATACTAAATTAAATTAATCCCAAAAACAGTCTAATTGGGTTTAATTCTTAAACAATATACCCTTGACCCTCTTGCTTGATCATATCAAATCAGCTTAATCCTTTTATTCTCTCTACTACTACTTAAAACCATTAAAAATTTGAAAATGCTTCAAATAAAAGGGCTGATACGTGCGATAAGCATCATAGTTCTTATAAGTATTAGACAACTATAAAGTCGAAAACGGGTAACGTGAAGACACTATTTCTGTCACACATAAAGAATCAAATCTATTACATTAATTTATTGAATTTTAGTCCAACTTTTGTTAAGTTGTTAAATGGAGTGTTAGTGAAGTTGCCCAGAAAATGCCTTTGAAGGAGTAAAATGACTTCATGTATTGAAAATTTACATATAAGTATCAGAACAGATTCGAGAGTTTATTAATAAGGCCAAGATCATAAGCCAAAAAAACCCACGTATTAAAAGATTAAAATAACGTTGGAACAGTAGTACATTGCAAGAAATATATAAACTGTTGTCTCTTAATGAAAAGGTTTTCTCATTCATCTTCTTCATCATCATCATCATCATCATCCAATGATAATGCTGGGGAAGAGTTTCTAGGAATTTAAAACTTGTGGTGGTTGCCAACTGATCATATCTTGAAGGATTGATATTAATTTGTATTTGACAAATTAAGAAAGGTTCATATATTAGGAGACGAATGTTCATGTTTACAAACAGATCGATCTTCCATGGGACAAAACAAAGGGCCAACGGACTTCTTTTTCTTTTGAGATTTTTTGTCGTCTGCATTGACTTTAGTAACCTCTGTTTTTTTTTTTTTTTTTGAGAATAAAAAACCGCATCTACTTGAAGTTAAATAAAATTATTGAAATTTTAAAAATTAATCTAATTTGTTGATATAATAATAGGGATATAATATTTTCGATACTACTTATACTCTTAATAAAATTAATGCAGTTGGAATTTTGAAACAAGTATGGGGTTGGTGGGGCACTCAAATTAATGGTGAGCCCCTAGTTCTTTAATTTCATGGGGATTATAAGTCTCCTGCATAAATGCTACGGCAATACAACCATTGGATATTTTTGAACGGTAGAAAACAAAGATTAAAACTTTAAAGGCTTTTTGTTTTTGAAAGAGAAAGGAAAAGACTTTTCTTTTTCTTTTTTCAACAGTCAAGTATGTCCGAATCAGTTTACGCACACCTCGATTAATTATTTTTTTGATTTGATTAAAGACAGACCATTTATACTTGAATTAATGTACTCATAAGGGATAATTCATACAATCGTGATTTTAGAGATTAATCTGCTATTGTATTCATGACTCGAACACGTGATACTTAGAGCAACATAAAACTTCTTTACCAATGCAATAAAATTCGTGATCAACTTACAATAAATCACTAAATTACTGATTGAAAGAAATAGCCATCACAAGATTGGTGGACACCATGCCCTAGACTTGGGGTAATTTTATGGATCATGGGCATAAAAGTGTGTGGCTGTGTAGGCTGAGACCACTAGCAGTAGCAGAAAAAACCAATATAACTATAGGTGAAACTTGTCCCTCAAATTTCACTACGTTTTTTTGTAGCTGATATCTACCGTGACTCATTTTATTGACACTTACCCAATGGTCCAGCATACGTGCCCTCCCCCTTGGTTCGACCAAAGAGACCGCAACTTATATTGGGTCTGATCTCGTCTTCGGTGCGGTGATAGTCTTTGATATTAATTGAGTTGATCAAACTTTACTCGTGAAAGTTTATCTCACAATTAATTGTCACCTACCTAATAAAATAATTATATGACCGAAGAAGACAATGAAATTTGAAAGCAATTACTCAATACAATCGTGATTGGATCATCATGTAGCGAATAACGCCGTTTATTATGATTTGTGCATATATACAAACTTTTAAACTAGAGACTACGGTTGAAAGAGACCATAGGAGGAGTGATGTAGAATATTGTAAGGGTCATTTTCTTTTACTTTTCATACGGGGTTTCTTTTTAATTCAACAAATTCTATGCAAATATAATCTTGGAATATTACCCTTCTCCTCCCCCCCCCCCCACCCAATTTTTATTCAATGGTTAAGGGTGTTCGGACTAGCTTATGTGCATCTCGACTAATCTCCTTCTTAGTTTGATTAAAGGTAGATCATCTACGCTGAGTCTATGGTATTTATGAAGAATAAATCTCTCATGACCTAACTCTAAGGAGTTGCCAATATTTTTGTCATACTCAATACACAAAATTCTCACTGATAGTAAGATTTGAGAAAGATAAATGATAGACAATCTGATTCCCATCACAGGAAAACAAATTCCATGACTCTATGATATGAGTACTTGCCATCATTCCTTAAAAAATTACACACAGCTTAGACACCATTAATGGAGTCCTGGAGAGATGAACCCGGATTAGACCTACGTTTGACTTTGTTCACAAAACTGTTGCCATTAGGAATGATACCAGCAGATGGAATCAATGACTACATTTCACAACAAAAGAACATCTTTTGAATTTCAAACTTGTTTGGGAATATCAAATCATTTCTTTCATTTTTACTTTCACTTGCATTTCTTTTCTTGGGTGACTAACTTTCACCTGCATTATATCAAAATCAAGTTCCAAAGTGTCCATATGTATGCAAGTAACTAATTGATCAAGACTGTTGATTCGATGTATGGCTTGTATGATTATGCATAATATGAAAGTAGATGTGTTAATTGAGTCGAATTTTGTGAGTTTGAGTTTGATTTTGTCGAATTTGTTTTAACTCGACTTATTTAGAAAATAAGCCGAACTCAAGCAATTCAATTATTTTATATATAAAAGTATCGAGTTTTACGAGTGTGAATCAAGTCTTTTAAACTCATTTTTTTAAATGAATTTAAAAATTCATTTAAATTCAACTCATTTAGAACAAAAGTCAAACTTGAATTGAATCTTATTCGAACCCAACACGAACCACTTGCCTCGATTAACACCCTATATGAAAGCATCAAGGGGGATCTATACAGTCCATTGAAGAACAAACTTGGGCGAAGAATTTGATGTTGTAAGAAAGGAAAAAACAGATACGAACCGGTTCTAACGGGCATTAAAACAAACAAGAGACAGGCATTTAATAATAAAAGTCCCAACAATTTGTATGCGTAGAGTGGCCAACCAAATGGAATATCAGAATATAATTTTCGTATGTGGGCCCCATAAATTTGTTGTGTTGTCAAGGAAACTTCTGTCCAATTGCCGATGACCTTCCCGGACCCACAAGAGGGAGAAACGAAAGGCTACAGTATAGAAATAGGTATTTTTTTTT